CTTTGCTTTGCGGTTGGGCGGCGGGGGAGCAGCCGGTCTGGTAGTAAAGCCAGATTAAGTAAAACAGGTTTTACTGTTCAGCTCAGTTCACCACAGACGTACAGGAACGCGCTCGTCCGGCCAGACGAACGTACTCCCCAAACGTGGAGCCGTACGAGCGCTCGGCTACCCGCCTCACCCCTCCTTTCCGTACTCCTCGAGGCTCCATCCGACATCCAGTCGCCTTTAGGCCACGTGCCCGGTGCTTGTGCCCGGTGCTGCCCCTCGGGCCGGGAGCGCGGCCGACGCCGGGGCGGGAGGCAGGGTTTCTTTTCCAGTGAGTGTTGAAGATGTTGAAACAGTCCGATTCGTTTTCACTCCGTCTTAGTTTTAGTTCCAGGCATCGCCAATCCCCATTCAGGTGCTACCGGATGACCAGTTACTGCTTAGTTCACTAGATGTAAAGTTTTACATATATATTAATGTCAATAGTTTTATTACGAGTTGTGTAAAATGGACTCTCTAGTTTAAAAAAAAAAGGAGGAAAAAAAAAACAAAAAAGGGAAGAAAAAACCATTAGGTCTCTCCTGAAAATGACTTTAGAGCATGGAAAAATGATTTTACTGGATTCTGTTCAACTGTAATCAAGGAAAAAAAATATGTATGTTGTAGAAAAAGGTGCAGAATTAAAAAAGATCTGCTTTTAATTTATTCTTTTTGTATTAAGAATTTGTATAGTTACCTTTACATTTTGCAAAACAGTGTTGTCAACACTTCCTTATTAAAGCGTTTTCAAAATGAAACCTCGCGGTGGTCTTTTCTGGAGGGCACAGTCCCTGGGGATCCTTGCCCTGGCGCCCACACGGCCACCACCTCTGCTGAACACTGGCTCCAGCTGTGCGCACAGCTGGCCAGGGGTTACAGGAGGGACCCACTCCTTGGCTGTTGGGGGCTCAAGCGAGGGAACCCTGGGCATTCCCCCCGAATCAGTCACAGACTGGTTTGGGTTGGAAGGGACCTTAAAGATCATCTAGTTCCAACCCCCCTGCCATGGGCAGGGACACCTTCCACTAGAC